TTTTTTCATTACTTTTCAGCGCTGTTCGAAGTAGCAGACCTATGCAGTTCATTTTCACCTCCCTTCTATTCAAGCATTTCTTAAGAACCTACTGTGTGCGAGATACTGTGCTAGAAACTGGGGAGAGGATAAAAAGGAGGCGCTCCCTTTTCTCTAGAAGCTTAAATTCTATCTGGGGAAAACATGGGTACAGATAAATAAAAGCAAAATGTATCCCAAGTGCGGTTGTTTTGAAGGGGAGGGAGGCAGAGTTGGTGTAAGAGGTAGCACTTGAGCTTGAGCCTTTAATGGAATGAGGAAATTCAAGAACCTTCTAAGGTTTAAGGGATAAGAGGTCCAGTGAAGCTAGTTGGCACAGGGTGTAGTATGCTGGCCATGAAGTCAGGAAAACCTGAGATCAAATCTGGCCTCAGGCATTTAGCTAGGGTTACCATTGCAGGGTGGTTGTGAGGATGAATGGAGATAATATTTGGAAAGTACTTTGCAAACATTAATTACTGTTGTTACCTGTAAAGAGTCATAGGGACAGGAGGTGAAATGTCCTGTGTGGAAATAGAAAGTAGAAGTGTTTAGCTAGAGTATAGGGTACTTTATTTTTTGGCACTGAATTCTTTACTTGGAAAGCAGATAGCCTGATGAATGGCCCTGGGGGTTGGAGAGGCCTGGCTGGATTCAAGTCCAGTCTTTGAAACATAGTAATGGTGTGATCTGAGCAAAGCACTTTAACCTTTTAGTGCCCCAGGAAGCGCTTGAAGAACTCTTGAGTGAAGAACAGTTGTATTGGTATTGGGAGTTCCCTAAACCAATGAAATCACAGGTCTGGAGCAAAAAAAAAAAAAGGTCACTATTTAATACTGCCTGGTACAATCTAATTGAATTGAGATTCTTTGCCCTCTTTTCCTTTTTACAGCTTTATGGAACTTCAAGGTAGGTTCTTAACAGAAAAAAAGCAGAGAGATAAAAAGACAAGCAAGGCATTGTTAGTACCGTCATGTTAAATTTAATATAGTTTTTTAAAAGTCTGTAACAGATTTTTTTTTATTTATATGTGAAAATGTTTGTGTTAAGTTCAAAATAATGAAAATTTACACCCCCCATAGTCAACAGTAAAGAAAGCTTTTTTAAATTTTGAATGTTAAACTTTTAATAAAATGTCAATATAATTTATTTAATAGCAATTTACAATTAAATTCAGTGCATAAACTCTCAAAACAACATTTTAGTTTTTCTGTTCTCATCTACATTCTTTGTCCTTTTTTCTTTTAAGAACCATTTTGGATGGAAATCTGTCTTTAAAAATGTTTAAAGAAATTTTATTATGCAGCATATATGTTTTTAACATATAATTCTTTAAAAATAAAAAAAAATCCAGTGTATTTAACAAATTTTTTTCAATAAACACTCACCATTCATTATCTATAATGCTAGTGTCTGCCTTAGTCATACCCTACCAAAGCAATACATTGAAGTATTTTTTTTTATTGGTAGCAAGATGATGCAGTATATTGTCACTATCCTCTTTGATAGTATTTCTGAGTTTTAATTCAGATCAATACCCCTGAACAGCAATAAATTATATTAAAGTATGACATATCATAGCATAAATATCCTTTGTTATTTTTATTTATTTTAAAACATTATTTTGTACCACCCACCAACTTGCACCTTCTTTGAGCAAATTGGAAAAAAACTAAGTAAAAAAAATGAATTCCCACATTGACCGTTTGCAAACCTATTCATGTATGTCTTTCTTCTGTATTTTAAATTCATTGCGCCTCTATCACAAGGTTTGTGGCATGTTCTAGCATCCTTCTTTTGGAATCATGCCTTTTCAGTTTGTTGATGATAATTCTAAAGGTTTTCAGTTATTTTTCTCTTTTACTATATAAATCATTCTCCTAGGTCTACCTCATTTTATTCTGCATAAGTTCGTAATAGTTTTCCCACTTTCCTCTCAACCTGTTCATTTCATCATTTCTTATGGCACATACCACAGTTTATTCAGTCACTCCCCAGTAGAAGAGCACTTTCCAATTTTTGGGGTATCAGAGAAATTGCTGCTAAAAGTATTTTTGTATGTGTAGGTCCTTCTTCGCATTCTTTGAGGCATAGACTTCATAGTGGTGAGGCTAGGTCAAAGGGTATGTAACTTTGGGACAAGTTCTAAATTGCTTTCCAGAATGTCTCAATCAGTTCACAGCTCCCACAGGAGTGTACTACTAGTCTCTCTATTTTCCCAGTCCTCTCAGCATTTGTCATTTTCCTCATTGGTTATCTTTCCTAGTCTATGAGGTTTAAAATAAAACCTTAAAGTTGCATAGATTTGCATTACTCTATTATTAATTTAGAGAATTTTTTCATGTTCTTTCATTTTCAATCAACTTTCCTCTTACAAAGTTGTAGTTAATGTATATGCGTTCTTCTACTTCTGCTTTTTTTGACTACATTTTTCCTATAATTCTTTCCAAATTTCTTAATATAGTTCATACTTGTAAGTATTAATTGCAGTATAGTATTCTATTAACATCAGTGTATTACTGTTAACTTAACCATTTCACATATTGGACATTTAGTTAGTGTTTCTGGTGGGTTTTTTTTGTTTTGTTTTGCAATTGCATATAATGCTGATAGAATAAATTTTGTACGAATGGCTAATTTTTGTTGGTTTGGTTGTGATTTCAGGGTAAAATCCCAACTATGAAATTATTCAAAGAGTTATTAGTTTTTAAATCTTTTGTGTGATTGCTTTCCAAAAAGATTCTACAAGGTTGTAATTCTACCAGTGTTGGAAGAGGATACCTTTGCTGGATAATCTCATTGGCATTGAGTTATTATTTTGATGCATTTAATAGGTTATGAGGTGGTAGTACCTTGTGGTTGATTGCATCTCTTTGATTATAAGTGAGATTGACTATTTTCTCTGAATAATTGTTATAACACTAACATTTGGCATTTACTTAGCTGGATGGCTAGTGTATCTAGACCATTGATGGCGTTTTTCTGTTTTTCACTTCAGATAGTTTTTATAGCTGCTTCACATTATGTTTTAGAATTTAGGTATGCAAGAATCAATTTCAGCTTTTTTCTCTTCAGTGCATTTCTTGATATTCTTTCTTATTTTCCTACATAAATTTCATCAAGACTTTGTCCAGTCTTATAAAGTCTCTTCAGTTTTTTTAATTTGCCTTTTTTTTTTTTTGATGAGGCAGTCGAGATTAAGGGACTGGCCTAGCATCACACAGCTAGTAAGTGTCAAGTATCTGAATTTGAATTTGAACTCAGGTCCTCCTGACTCCAAGGCTAGAGCCCTATCCACTGCAGCACCACCTAGCTGCCCCCCATTTTTTTTTTAATTTGGAAGATAGTTTTTCCTCATATTCAACTAATCTTTTATGCTCAAGGGAAAGCCTGCTTAGGTCTAAGTCTAATATTTTTACATGTAAACTCATAAGATAGGAATGTAATTTTCTTTGTCATTATGTTGTCTTTACCTGATTTTTAAAATTAACACCATATTTTCCTCATAAAAGGTATATTTCTTCTTTCTCTATATTCATGAACTGAATAATATGTGTAACAGGAATTATTCATTCTTGGAAAGTTTGAAACCATTCTGCTATACTTCTGCCTGACCTTGTTTTATTTTTTTTGATTTTGGGAGGAGTAGGATAATTCTTTGGTTGCTTGTCTTAGTCCTTCTATAATTATTAATTTTTCTACTTATATTATTCATTTACTGTTGTGCTAGCTAGGGGACTTCAGCACAATGTCTGGTACATAATAAGCACTTAATGATTTTTTTCTTTTATTCAGTAGGATGATCATTGTAGTTAATAATTTTTCTTTAAGCTGTCACATTTACCAGAATATATTTATGTGTAATAGTATATAATAATATTCTTGTTTTCTTTTATGTTTGTTATCCCTGTTTCTTTTATAATTTTGTTGATTTGTATTTTCTCCCTTTTTTGGATTAAATTTGATAATGTATATCAATTTCTTGGATTTTGTCCAAAAAGCAGTTTCTGTTTATTTCTGCACTTATTTTTATCATCTCTTGATTTTTACTTGGATTATTACTTTGTTCCTTATTTAGAGCTTTATGTTGTAAGCTTGATATATTTTACCCATTTTTTCTTGTTAATATAGACATTTAGCAATATACATTTCCTCCTGGAAAGCTTTAGCTGCCACATAGGTTTTGATATGTGGTGTTGTCATTGTCTTTTAAATCTTAATTGTTTTTCTGATTTTTTTCTTTAATGGTTATTCTGGCCGTTTTTTAGTTGTCATGTAGTTGTATACCTTTTGCTTATATTTTAAATTCTAATTTCTGGGTTTTTTAATTTATGCATGGTTTCTCTGAATTAGTATGTGATTTATTTTTGCAAGTTTTCATGTGTACTTGAAAAGTATGCATCTCCCATTTTTCCCACCTATGTGTATATGTATACATATATATGCATTCCAGCTTATTAAATTAGCAGTTCAAATCTGTTTTATTGTTGATCATTTTATTTGTCACAGTTTTATAGTGAAGTCCCATACTATTCATATACTGTTATCTATTTCTTCTTCTGTCACAGCCTTTTACAGAATAAACTGTTGAATTGATATGTATAAATTCAGAACTATTACAATGTTACTATTTCCTTTTACCATTATGTAATGCCATTGTTAGTCTATTTGTTTTGAATTCTACTTCATCAGATATTTTACTGATATGATTTTTAAAAAGTTAAAATTTAAAAATGAGGTAATTGACCAAACGACCTCTTTATTTTAATCTAGCTATATATCTTTTGCATTAAATGTTTGATGTAATATCCATGTTATTTATGAACAAGAAATTGTGCTATAAACAAAGGAGAATAAAACATATTGCCTTTTATGCTCTTTGAAGATATATATCTACAATGTAGAGAAACATTTAATTTAGTCCTTAATCTGTAATATAGTCAATTTAAGGAACTATCTCTTAAATGTTTTTCTTCCCCTAGGTATCTATGATTTTAAACTTCAGTTTGATAACATGTCAAGAAATAATTCAGAAATATCTGCTTGCAAAGTGACAGAGCAATTAAATATAGAGAGGAATGAAATCAAGCCTCCACATGAACCTTTAAGAAGCCCTCGATCATATCCCAACTTTAAGTTGAAAAGCCCAGAGCATGGAAGTAAAACAGTGGGAATTGCCAAAAAAAATTTTTTGTTTTGTGAACAAACTAAACGATATTTTGCTAGTTGTGAAAACAGTTCAGCGCCTTCTAACTCTAACTGTATTAACAAAGAAGCAGTTGGATCAAAAATCGACAAGAAAACATCAACAGGTGATTTAAAATAGCAATCTTTGATTATTTTTACTTTAGATGTTTTTGAAGCTCTTGTCAAATGTGTATAAACATATGCTCATAGGAGACAGAACCTTAGAAAGGTTTCTTTAGTTTGAAATTTTAACTATGTACAAAAATCAAAGTATAAATTAAAGGTAAGTTTGGATGCAAAAATCTGCTTTCTATTACTTACTTCTCTGAATTGCCTTCATGGCTAAAATAGTAATGGTAGGCAAAAATCAAGTTTTTATATAAAGACATGCCAGAAGAGGGTGATTATGGAGTAGCTTTGCTTTTGAGACTGTAGTGGCTTAAATATGTATGTTACTACTGTTTTATCGTTTGATTTTTTGTGTTCTTGCTCTGTGTCCCTTCCCTGAAACCTTTCAGGATCTCTGTCTAGTCCTGCAGCTAGAAGTTTTCACCTTCATTTTATCTTCTGGCAGTTTACTTCTCTCATACGTGTGTCATTTTAATTTGCATTACATTTATTAGTGTCTCTTCTATGAGATCATATGTTCCTTGAGGATAAAGACTGTTTTATTTATCTTTGAATCTGCTGTAGCACTTAAATTGTGCATTGTACATTCTAGGGGCTTAATAAAGGTTTGTGGAATGATGAAATGAATCAAATATGCAAACTTTCCACTGAAGTCCTACACTCATGTTTCATCTTGGCATGATGATCTTGGGTTTTTTAAGACTGTGTTACCAGAGTATGAGCTCTGGATGGTCACATAGAACCAGCACAGTTAAGTTGAGGAACGTCAAGAGAAAGTTGACTATGAGCTGACCTTTTTTTATGAGGGGAATGGAAAGAAAGGGTATGGTGCATAGAAGCCAATGAAGTAGTCTGTCCACTAAGGGGTAGAGGACTGGTGACCTCCATTGGTTAGAGAGTACTTACTGATAAAATCATAAATCTTTTGAAGTGTTGCAGTATAGCCCATTTAAATGAATTAGTGACCAACCCTAGATATGGATGCTAAATATCTCAAAAGATGGAACTGATTATATCCTAACAGATAAAGAAAAGACTACTTGATTATTTCATCATGTTTTCTGTAGTGAGATGATTGTTTGGTTAAAGCACTAGCTAAAACCAATACCATTCTGAAAGTAAATATCGATGAGAACGTATTATATGTGATTATAGGCAGCTACCTACTTGCCCTTTTTAATTGAAGACTGCTTAGTGCAAGACCTAATTAAGGCAGATTATCCCAAGATAATTTTTGAATGAAACTGGAAAGATAATCAAAAAGACATGAGTTGGAATGAATCTGTTGCTATTATTTTGGCAGTTTGTGGTCATCAATATCGATAGTAAGACCACATTTGATTCCACCATCTCAGTGATTTTATATTAGGTGATGCAGTGGCAGCTAAGAAGATAGAGTTGTGAAGATTTGCTGGATCCTGTCCCAATATATGCAGAAGAAATCTACATTGAAGATAACACAGTTTTTAAAGGCTTAAGGATCTAGTTATCTAAATATCTCAAGGAAATAAAGATTCCTTAAAAATGGAAAGGACCATAGATTCCTGAAGAATAGAATAGATCATCAGATCAGCAACTACTGACCTACTGGATCATTTCTACAAAATCTTTTGAGGATGGTATATAAACACCTTGAAAATAGCTTTGATGAAACTAAGAAGGGAAATAGTCAATCCAGAAGTGTTCTACATTAGACCACCTTAGTCAAACAGTTAACCGAAGAGCATAGAAAACAAAAGGTCCTGGTACGTCTGTTATTTGTTTATTAAAGAACATTTGATAAAAAAAATTTGATCCAGTATAGCAAAAAGCCTTAAAGGCTCTCCAGTGCATATATTAAGGTATTATAAGAATCAATTATGGAGTCTATTAAATGGATGGAATGATGGATAATAATAATAGCTGGCATTTATGTAGTACTTTAAGTTTTGCAAAGCATTTTACACAGATCCTCACAACTTAAGAGTTATACAGATAAGTATTAGAAGTAGATTTTGAGCTCAAGTCTTCCTGATTACAAATGCAGTGCACTCTTCACTACGCCACCTAAGTACTTACAATATAGAGTATAGAATACTTTGGGTGGCATCTACCTATGTTGCCTAAAACACTTATTAACTGTGTGACCCAAGGTAAATCACTAAACTTCTCTCAGCCTCACTTTCCTTATCTATAAAATGCAAATAATAATGATTTTAATTCACTTGCTTGCTGTGAGGATTAAATGAAATAATGGTGGTGAAGAGCTATGTGTTAGCTAATGTTATTATCATTGTTACTGATTTCAATATTAAATGAGAAATAAAACAGGGAGTTATGTGTTCTTCCGATATCCACATTCTTGGGATGTACTCTATACAAAGTTCAAATGGAAGAGGGTTTGTCCATTGACAAGCAGTTTTTTCAGATAATCTTATTTGCTCTTGACATTTTATGCATTACCTTGAGCCATCGAAGACCACAGTGAGAGCCACACCTTGAAAAAGAGATTGAGTGACACCCTCACAGGAAATGGTTAAAGTAACTGTGGATGGATTGTGTAGGAACTAGGGGTGGATTGCATTTGAGAAGTTACAAAGCACTTTCTTTGAACCCAGCTGCCAACTACTGCAAAAGCCTATTGTTTTGTGCCCTATGGATACATTTTGGCTGCAGATTGTCAAACACTGTTATCTCAGAAGAATTAAAATTATGCGTGCTCTAAAGAGTAATGGAAAGATATATAACAGGTAGAAAAGTGCTGTTGCATATTAACCATAATTCCTTTGCCAGAAGTAGTACAAAAGGGTCATCAAGGACAAATATCACCAGAAAAGGAGAAGCAGGATATTCATAAAAGCAGGAATGAAGTTTGTCAGTCTGAATGCTGTACCAGTGTCCATAAGACTATAAAGATCCAGAAGGTGGTTTCCATACTTGGGGTAGATCCTCTGTAGTGAATTTACAGAAAGGCCTGTATGGGAATCACAAAGGTTGTGACGTGTACTAGTAAAGGGAGTAGCTACTTTTATGAGGTCACACATACATTGAAATAACTGAGCTATCAACCTATAAAATAACTTCCTTTGTATTTCTCTAGAAAAGCCTTTTTTGTTAGTGAAATAATAATTTTTTTTATTCAGAGATGTGTTTTGTGAATAGCAGTACTGTTAGACCATATTCATCCTATAGGAAATTGGGATCATTGCTTATTTTATACTTGCCACTTTCTACCCACATTTAAATACCTATTATGTACAAAACACTGCTGGCTGAGATACAAAGATTAGATAAATATAGTTACTCCCCTAGTAGAGCTTTTTATCTAAATGTATTTATAATAGGTATTTATTTCTTAGATTTAAAAAAACATTCTTAAAATAGTGTGTTTTCACTAAAGTGAATTTTAGCATTATTTTTGTTTTATTAGAGAAGAATATAAAGTATCATTTTTTCTTCCCCAGGAAACTCAGTAGCAACATTAAATGTTGGAAATAATTTGCCAATGAAAGAATTGAACACTGTGAGTTACCAAGTTTTTTTTTTATTGTTTCACTTTGGTTAAAAATCTAATACTGCATTGGAGGTAGGAATTCCTTAAATTAGAAGTAATCATGTTTAGATTCAGTTTACTAGTCTTTTATCTGGTGAAAAGTATTATGGCATAGTGAATTGAGAGCTGACCTTGAAGACAAGACCTGGATTCAAGTTCCACCTCTGACATAGGCTCTGTGACCCTAAGCAATTGACCTCTCAGTTCCCTGAGCAGCTAAAATAAGTTCTTAGCCTGGAGGCCGTGAACTCATAGATAGATTTCAGGGAGCATACACTTGGTGGGGGGGGGTGTTATATTTTTATTTCAATATAATTGGTTTTCTTTCAGTTCCTTTGTATTTTATTTTATGTACTTAAAAACATTCCAAGAAGGCTTCACCAGGTTGTCAAAGAGATCTTTGATTAAAAAGAGAGAGAGAGAGAGAGAGATTAGTATGTATAAATTGCAGAGAAGGCAAAGAGAGTTTCCTTATCTGGAAAGTCCCTCTACTGCGGGTCTAATCCCTATCCCCTTAACCTTTTTGTTAATAACTTCTGAAAAGTATCCAGATTTTAATACTGCTGTCTTTTTTTTTTTATAGAAGCTTAGTACTCATTTGTCTCCTGCAAAACCAAAAATGCTACAGAATTTGAGTGACAATCCTTTGTCTCTAAACTATGATTCTAAACTTTTTAACTCATTAATACCATCACCTCGGTCAACTACTTGCCATCTCTGTGGGCTGTATGGTAAGTGTGTCATTTCCTTTGAGGATTCTTGATATGTTGAGTGTGTGTATTTAAGTATTTCTGAAACTACATAAACAGTGCAACTCGAATCTTTTTTTTAAATTTTTTTTTTTAGGCAATTGGGGTTAAGTGGCTTGCCCAGGGTCACACAGCTAGTTAAGTGTCAAGTGTCCGGTCTGAGGACAGATTTGAACTCAGGTCCTCCTGACTTCAGAGCCGGTGCTCTATCCACAGCGTCACCTTGCTGCCCCTCAAATCTCTTAAAAAAGAAAATAGCAAAAGGTTTTTGGCTTTTTTTTTTTCGATAAAAATGGGTCTTGTGATGCATTTTAGGCTAGAAATAGGATTGATAGAAAGAATGGAATTTAACTTCTATAATAGGCAGCATAGTATTGTAGACAGTTAGAATTGGAGTTAGAGGACCTGGCTTTAAATCCAGGTTATGTTAATTACATAGGTTGTACATATAGGGTGTCTTGGAGCACTTGGGGATGCAGAGGTGACTCCCAATTTCTTTGTTATTTCTGGTTGCTGCAGCTGCCACTACTACTCCTAATTTTATTCCTCTGCTTCCACCTAACTTCTTATTTGTTTCTGAGAGGGTCTGTTGTGGAAAGAAGGAGTATGCCTACTGCCTTGGAGTTGCTTCACTTGCTCCAGTGGTGTGTTTGCATGGAGGAGCCCAAAGCCTTTTGGGGTCAGGAGGTCTATCTGCTCTCTTCCTACCCTCCCAGCTGGCCAGCCATATCAACTGGACACATTTTCCCTTTTGATATCTTAGGCCACTTTGTTTTCTGTAACTCATCCTATACTGTGTGGCTCCTGGGGCTCTGGTACAGGCAAGGAAGACAAAAGAATCAAAATTTTTGAAAGATGCAGGTCTTGTTAGCAGTTCTTAAATTTCATAGGAGGCTCTTCATGGCAAAGTGCAGGGCAAATGGAACAAGGTGCAGTTGGAAAGATGCTTTTATTAACCAGCAAGATAAAGCCCAAAAATTTGTTGTCTATTTGTGAGGAGGAAAATTTGGGGTTTCTTTAAAGTTTGGGCTGTTCTTAGAAATTAAATTTATTTTCATCCTTCAGTTTGGGGAATAGACATAATGGCCTTTATAGTTGAGTATTCCACATTTGACCCTCCCCCAATAATATTCCCTGGGGCACACATACCAAGTGCCTTTGGTGACCTGTGGCCTTTGTGTCTAAGCAGGTCTCTTGGCTTTTATGTACCTGGAGTAGATGATCTTTGAGGTCTCTTCCAATTTGATTCTGTGTGATCTTAAAATGCTGAATATTGAACTTCAAGAGAGTCGGTATGGCAGAGTAGATAGAGGATTGGCCTTGGAATTAGAAGCAATGACCTGGGTTTGAGCCCTGACATTTGACATGGAAGAGTTAAGTGACTTTGGGCAAATCACCTAACCTCTCAGGATTTGGGCAGCTGTCTGAGACACTTGAGTTAGAAGTAAGTTAGTTGCCAGTCCACGTTGGTGGAAAGAATTTTCAGACCAGGAAGTTTTTCACAGAAATGGTTGTCCCCTTAAAGGGAAACCAGCCTTTGTAAAAGAGAATTTGCTCCTATTATAGTGATGTATTATCTCAATTTTACTAATGACAAAACAAACTTAAAGAATTAAATGACTTGACCATGGTTACATAGCTGAGGCAGAATTCAAACCTAGGTCTCTCCTACCTTCCTCCAAGTCTCAAGATTCTTTCCGTTAACAACAGCAGCAGCAGCAGAAATTAACATTTAAGATTACACTTTAAAGTCTGCAAAGCACTTTACATATATTATCTCGTTTGTTCTTCATAACAACCATGTGAGGTAGCTACAGCAGTGTAGTCATTACTGCTATGATGATTCACAAATTTGTGCATTGTTCTAGTGTATTAGGACCTTTTAGTATATTAAAAAGTATGCTTAAGACTTTGTTTAAAGTCTTAGAGGGAACTCTGAAGACAGAATAAGGGCATACTTTCATATATAAAATAATAAATTTGTGGCATTTATTATCCCAGGTTGAAGTACAGACTGAAAACATAGCTTCAGAGAAAGTTAATCTGCTCTGGACTTTTGTTACTCTTTAAATTAGTAAAGGAAACTAGGATTATCACTATCATCATCATCATTATTATTATTATTGTATCACTGAAATTTTGAGGTTGGTGGCAAGAAAAGTGATGGCATTCCACAATATGTCTCTTTGCTACTGAAACAGAGTATGAGGTTAGATTGACCATATGGGTTTGACCTAGTGTAATAATTCTGATGTTCTTAATGCATTTTTGAATTTCCCAGTAAGGATCAGTCAAAACTTTTGCAGAATAAACTTTGAAATTAGTACAGTAAGGAATTAAACTGTTAATAGTTATATTAATGTTTAATCCTAACACAAATGTAGGCATAGGTGGTATCATAAAATAGCATTGTTTCTCTTTAGACCTTCGTCTTAATCTTTTTTTTTTGCTAGGCAGTGGGGTTAAGTGACTTGCACAGGGTCACACAGCTAGTAAGTGTTATGTGTCTGAGGCCGTATTTGACTTCAGGGCCTCCTTGAATCCAGGGCTGGTGCTCTATGCACTACACCACCTAGCTGCCCAAATATACTTTTTTCTTTTTCTTTTTCTAGGCAGTTGGGGTTAAGTGACTTGCCCAGAGTCACACAGTGTCAAGTGTTTGGTCTGAGGTCAGATTTGAACTCGGGTCCTCCTGACTCAAAGGCGGTGTTCTATGCACTGCGCCACCTAGCTACCTTCATCTTAAATAGTTGAGGAGAGATTGTCTATCAACACATTACTGAAAAAATTGTAAATTCTAATTTATTAAAATTTTGGATTTTATTGGAACAACATAATAGTAACTTTTTATATTGTTTAGGATCTCTGAGGTGTTCACAGTGCAAGCAAACATACTATTGCTGTGTAGCATGCCAAAGAAGAGACTGGTCTGCACATAGCATTGTGTGCAAACCTATTAAACAAAAGTGAGTATATGAGATTTTTAGAGTTAAAACTCTGAAAGATCAGTGTATAGCTATTCAAGCTATTTAGAAACACCAGTTTTATTAGAGTTTTACTGTTGAAGACATTGATATTTGAAGTTTCAGGTAATATTTAGCTTTTTCTTAGGATTAGTTGCTTTTTTTTTCTTTTATCTTATATGTTGTGACAGGTGATGTAAATGATAAGTGTCCACTTGGTGGTGCTGCTAAAACTTAACCTATTCATATCTAGCTGACTACCATGTTTTCTGCATTCTTCAGTTAACTAGAATGTAGAGTACATTGCAGTCAGCAGGTGGCATTGCCCTCAGGCCACAAACGCCTTGGCTACATCAGAGCCTGTGGTACTTATGTGTGTTTGCACTGGCTTTTCCAAAGGTTACAGTATCTCTTCTGCTCATTAGAGGGTGCTTGCCTACAAGTTCACAGCCTGCTCTCCTTTCCCATTGGTCTTTCTCATAGGACTGTGATGCTAACCATGGTTCAAAATTGAGCTAGGGAAATAAATAGAATATCAGAATTATGGGAATCTCCATAGATCTCTGCCCCTACCCTGTATCTGAGAAAGTCTCTTCATTCTGACCAACTTGCTGTATTTCCTACCATTCCACACTGTACTCATGCACATGTTCATCATACAAAGAAAAGGATTCAGAAAAGAATTTTAAAGAGCTACTTGGTATAGCATTCTGATGGCTTCACCCCCTCTCTCAGTTCTCTCAAGTATTTCTTGAAGTAGAAAACTTTCTTTTGAACACATCTCATTTTACTCAGGTGATGAAAGGATTAGGGGCAGGAGTTTTGAGTCCTAAGGCCTCATTTTAGAAGGCTGGAGAGTCATTCAGCTAAGGCAAAGAAACATTGTAGGAGGCAAGAGAAGTGAGTACCTCTTCCACCTCACCAGTTGATATTCCTAAAAGCTGTTAAGCCAGGTACCTTGCAGTCAAACTCTGCTTCTGATCTGCCTCATGTGCTAATTCCCTGTAGTTATAGAAGGCAGTAAGTATTACTGGGTCTCAGCTCTTTAACCATCCTGTTCATGGGAGGTTCCCGCCGAATCACTGCCTTGTTTCGGCAAAAAGACTTGCATAGTTCAATGAGCTATACCTTGCAGGGTTACCCAAGATGGACAGGTCATAGTGTTCTGACAAAAGGTGATCCTCTAGAGAAGGAAATGGAAAACCACTCCAGTGCCTTTGCCAAGAAAACCCCATGGACAGTACTAAAATGATAAAAGAAATGACATTGGATGATCATGTCTGGTCAGAAGGTGTCTGATACACTACTGGGGAAGAGTGGAGGACAGCTACATGTAGTTCCAGTACTAATGAAGCAGCTGGGCCAAGGCTGAAAGGAAGCTCAGCTGCAGATGTGTCTGATTTGAACTCGGGAAAATGAGTCTTCCTAAGTCCAGGCTTGTGCTCTATCCTAGAGGTGTATGCCACCTAGCTTCCCTAGTCACTCACTGAAGCACAAAACTGATGTTTGCTTTGACTTCCCTTTCCCTCAGTTCTCATATCTAATCAGTTATGAAGTCCTGTAGTTTCTAGCCCTAACGTATTTCAGATCTGTCAGGTTTTGGGGTTTTTGTTTTTTGCTGTTTTCATTTGTAGCAGCCTGGTCCAAACATACATGTGCGTGTGTGCACACACACACGAACACACACACACACACACACACACACACACACACATACACACACACACACACCCCCCACCTGCAATCTTTCCCTTCTCTGATTTGTTCTTCACGTTACTGTCAGATTAGTCTTGACTCTACAATGTTCTGTTCATGCCACTCTTTTGCTCAGATCTCTTCAGTGACTCTCTACAACCTACCAAATAAACATTTCAGGCCTTCTTTACCCCTCTCTTTACCTTATAGCATCTCCCTTGTACTTGTGCAGTTCTCTTACTAACTGAACTATTTGCTCTTCCTTGCACATGATCAGGACTTTCCATCCTACTTTGTACCTATGTTCAAGGCATTCTGTACTTGGAAATTCCTTTATCACTCATCTCTATCTTTTGTGATTTTACCTATCCTTCAAAACCAAGATTTAATGCTACTTTTTCCAGGAAGCCTTTGAATTTTTTCACTTTTATCCTCACCGTGAATTTCTCTTGTGTACTTATTATTGTCTGCATTATGGCTATTGTATTAGGTATTATTTGTCTGTCATTCATTTCAGCAAACATGCAAGGCCCCTTCTGGATTAGAAACCCTATGAAGGAAGAGAATATCTTATTTAGATTTTATTTTTCCTAGCACCTAGTATGGTGGTCTACAGACATGACATGTGTAATAAATAATAGGTAAATCAATTAATTTAAAAATACCTGATCAGTTTTAATACAGCGTAATTTTCAGTACCTCTTTAAGTAGTTTATGTATTGAGGAAGAACCAGTAATACCCTTATTATCGCTCAGCTATCAGGGAAAAATTTGGACATCTAGCCATCCTTCACTGTGTTTGTAACACAGAGTTAATGTTTTACTTTATTGTTGCATTTTTCTGTAGAGAGATTTAAGCTATTTTTGTTTTTAAGGATAATTGTGTTTTGTTTCTTTAATTCTAACAGTATTAATATTTTAACCCTTTGCTGTGTTCCAGTTTCCCTAAATCTGAAGATACTAAATTATCTTGTGAAACAAAGAAAATGGAAGTAAATAAAGAGGTATAACATATTTCTCTTTACCTTTAGATTTAGAATTTGGACAGAATTTTTTACTGATTTGAGAGTAAGCAATTTTATTATAATCAATGTACTTTTAATTTTTTTGACTTTTTTAGTAGCACTTGTTTTGTAGGAGCAGTGGTATACCATTATATGCAGTATTAAGAACAGAACCAAATGTTGCCAGAAATCATTTGTAAAATGTATTTAAAGCTCTCTTGTGCTAATCTTCCCTTCTTTTTTAAAATTTTAATTAATTTATTTTTAATTATCAACAATCACTTCCATAAGCTTTTGAGTTTTAAATTTTTCTCCCCCTCCCTCCCCAAAATGGCACACAATCTGATATAGGCTCTACATATACATTCATGTTAAACATATTTTCATATTAGTGATGCTGTAAGTAAGAATTAGAACTAATAGGAGGAACCACTAGAAAGAGGAAACAAAACACAACAGAAGAAAAAAAATAGCAAATAGTGTGCTTTGATCTGCATTCAACCTCCATAGTTCTTTCTCTGGATGTGGATAGCATTTTCCATCATGAAGCCTTTGGAGATGTCTTGAATCCTTGTATTGCTGAGAAGGGCTAAGTCTGTCAATATTAGTCATCACACAACGTGGCTATCGCTGTTCACAACGTTCTCCTGGTTCTGCTCACATCACTCAGCATCAGACCATACAACTCTTTCCAGGTTTTTCTGAAGTCAGCCTGTTCGTCATTTCTTATAGCGCAATAGTATTCCATTACATTTACATACCACAACTTTTTCAGCCATTCCCCAGTTGATGGGCATTCCCCTCAATTTCCAATTTTTTGCCACCACAAAAAGAGGTGCTATAAATATTTTTGTACATGTAGGTCCTTTTCCCATTTGTATGATCTCTCTGGGATATAGCCCTAGAAGTGCTGTTGCTGGGTCAAAGGGTATACACATTTTTATAGCCCTTTGGGCATAGTTCCAGATTGCTCTCCAAAATGGTTGGACCATTTCACAACTCCACCAACAATGCATTAGTGTTCGGTTTTCCCACATCTTCTCCAACATTTATCATTTTCCTGTTTTGTCATGTTGGCCAGTTTGATAGGTGTTAATCATCCCTTTTTTCCTAAGTAATTCTTTATGCATGCCCTGCAACTGTGAGTTCCTGACCTTTTAACAAAATATGGGAAGACAGAAGCTCCATTCATGCCATTTCTTTGTTAATATTTAGGCTATATCATTACAAATTGCTGCAGATTTAGTCTCAACAAATTATTTAACCTGTATACTATGTTTCACTGTGATTCCTCCTTTCTTAATTGTAGACTTTTGTACAGCCTACTTCCTATATAATCATGAAGCATTCGTACCTCTGAAAAGTTCATGTTAAGGTACTATTAATACACATTTCCATGTGTTAAAAAAGAAGCACAGAATAAATTATTTGCTAGGCATGTAGAATATTTTGTGGCTGGGCAACATCACATATTTCCCTTAAAGTATTTGCTGAATATTGGGGAATAGAATAAAAGTAAAGACTGTATGTTTTGGTCTTTAGAATTTTAATATTTCTCAAGTCTGAGTAGTAAAACTCGTTTTAAGGATTCTGGGAATTTTTGCTCTATGCATTATAGCATAAGAGTTAAACCTTTTAAGTCAGTAACTTTCTATTTCTAAACAGGATGATTATCAACTTGGAACCACCACAGAAATAGTCGGATGTACTAAGAAAATAATGTTTTCCGATTTACAAAATCTGCAGCTAAGAAAAACTATGGAAGTAAAGGTATTAATTATTTATGTAATGTGTTCAAACATTTTCAAAAGCTTGTAAATAGTTCCATTTTTACATATCCCCAGCCACCTTTATTTTCTGCACTGTTAGCTTTTGTTGAATTTATGATACTTTTTTGCAAATATCAGTGATAAAATAATTAACATAGATTTCATTTGCAATCTATTCTGAATAGTCTTTGAACGTTTTGTTTATAAAATGTTTCTAAGAAGTTTATGTTGCAGTTAAATATTAGTAATTGCATACTTTCATTCTTACTGTCAAAAAGGGTACAGTTACTGAATTCAAGCACCCAGGTGAATTTTATGTACAGATCTGTTCTTCAGAAGTTTCAGAATGTATCAGAAAACTTTCTACAAGGTTGAAAGAATCATATGTGAATATGATTTCTCCGGAAGAATACATGCCTATTAAAGGGGAAATCTGTGTTGCCAAGTACTCTGTGGATCAGGTAATCTCTAAAATGAAACAGTAATAATAAGTATAACTACTGTACACATTTATTTTTTTATCACTTTATCATTTAAATAATCCATAGGAATACCAGTGTTTAGAAAATCTATTAAGAGTTAATTTTAAGTCTAATCTCATAATATTTCCTCTTTTGTATTCATACCATTTGCTAGTTGTAGGTTAGTGACATTTTCAATAACTTGTACATATTCAGTTGAAATGTAAAATATGACAGCATTACAGATAAAATGTTTCATTGTAAATATTAAAATGTACAATAATTGTAATAAATTTTTAGAGCGGCTTCTTAGGATTCCTTAAAAAGAAAAAAACAAGTTTTTCTTTAATGCCTACTTAGAATAATGGGATTTCTTTCCATTTGTGTAAAATATAGATTAATTGAATCTTGTCTTAGTTTCTGAAATTCTGTAACAAAGCACTATGTTTTATTTTCCTGTAGACCTGGAACAGAGTAATAGTACAAGATGTTGATGTACATCAGAAGAAGGCACAAGTGTTATATATTGATTATGGAAATGGAGAAGTTATTCCAATAAGCCGAATTCAGCAACTGGACAAAAATATTGAACTGTTTCCTCCCTGTGTGAGTTTCTTCGTTTTTGTTTTCCTTTAAGTTTGTAGTAGTATAAGATTGAATTCTAGGGAACCCAAGGTTTCCCTGCAGTTTTCAGTGGGGCACTGTGAACAGGCTTTAGTTAGTGATATTTTCCCCTCCAGAATATTAATCATTAAATCTTATCAAATCTGTGGGGATTTTTAAATTTTGAAAATGCATGTAACTTGACACAGTTTACCCAATCTCTCCTTTGTTTATCTTAGGGGCATGCTTCCTTGATGGCGTAATGTATAGGTCCTGTTCATATTTGAAAGACAAATTATAAATGTTGATTGATTATGCCCGAATTAATTTAGTAATTGTTGGTATGAGATGTATTGTTTCGGGATGACTAGTTTTAGTGCTTTTATATGCAGGTTGATTATATGCATTGTGAATTCACATATGCAATACTATTTTTGTTTGTTCTGTCCTTTGACTGAATCTGAGGCTAGCCCTTGAGTAATAAAACGTTATGCAAACTCTTTGAAAACCTCAGTTTTGTTCCTATTCTTCCTTTTTTTCCCTTCTCTCCTTCTCCTTTCCTGCCCCCTTCTCCTCCCCCTCCCCCTCCTTTTTCTCTCTTTAGGAGTAGGGATTGATTCATTGTATTTCTATCCCTTGAAACATAGTAGGTGGTTAGTAAATAATTATATTTTTCCTTCTAAAAAATAAGCGGATTTATTAAAGTTCTTGTTATAGATGAGGGATTATTTTCACTTCTCAGCACATAATTTTGTTTTTTAAAATTAGTTAAATATAATTTTATCATACAAATTCTGAAATTATCCTTTCTGCAAGTGGTCAGACTGTAGTGTGCCGAAAATGGAATATTATATAATGAAGCTGGAGAGGTTGTGAATGGCTTTTTTAAAACCATAAAAGAGAAGTTTTACCTAACTAATATGGAAGTGATTGCACATAAATAACCTGTCTCAAATTGCTTACTGTTTTAGGGAGGGGGAGATAACAGCAGGAGGGAGAAATTTAGGAACTCAAAAAATTTTTAAGTGAGTGTTAAAAATTATCTTCACAATGTTATAATTGGAAAAAAAATAATATTTAAAAATAAATAAAAGAGTTTTATATTTTATCCCAGAGAGTCTGCAGTTAAAAATTGTTTCATATGACATAAAATAAAAGTTTTAAAAAGATTTGCTCCTATGATTTCTCTAAACCAAAATAACTCCAAATAAACATGCATGTGGTACATATTTGTACAATGATTGGAAATAAAAAGTTGTTTTTTTATGGCATTTTAAAGTTTTACTTAAGAGTTTGAGGTTTCAGGATAATGCTTGAATGCAAAATCAAACTTAAATGTCATTATAGGTTCTTAAAGAGGAAAATCAGTTGTTATTGCCCATCCTTTCTATCTAGAATACCTTTACTCTCTTTCAGGCCATAAAGTGCTTTGTTGCTGGTGTAATCCCAGCAGAAGGAAGTTGGAATAATGACTGTACCAATGATATTAAACCCTTAATAGTAGAACAGTATTGTTCTTTTAAAATTCTTGATATATTACAAGAGGAAATGATTTCTTTTGCTGTTGACGTTTTGCTTCCAGGCTCTGGTAAGATCAGAAAATAATTTCTCTCTCCATCCTTTTGTAGAATTTAAAGCATTTCCGTTTTCTCATTTATTTTTCAAGTATTCTGAGAAGAAGGTAAGGAAACATGAAATTTTGAAAGTTTCTTTCCTTCCCTAAGTAATTGATGTTTAAATCTGGTCAATAAACTCTTTCAGCGGTCTACACAAATTTGTATTTCATTAGTGTACCAACCAGGTTAAGTACCTAAAAGTAATTGGGATTTTTAATTTTTTTTAAAGAACTTTGTATTCTAGACTTCTGGATGAATTTAAAACTAGTGTTCCTTGATTCAAGCTTAATGAATTTTAAATGGTGGGATTTAGTAAATTCAGTTAATATGATATACTTAACACTGATCTCCCTTTCCGTTTCTGAAATTGTATTATTGCTGATTTTGAATTCATATGATATATGTTAAAATTGCTGTAACTGAATAGAGCATGGGATTTAGAGTCAGGAGGACCTGAGTTCAAATGTGGCCTTAGTCACTTACTAGCTCTGTGCACGTCACATTACCCCAGTAGCCTCCAAAAAAACCCAAACAAACAAAAAAAAGAAATTTTTGTAATTCTTGTCAGGCCTTTTAGAAAATACAGTTTTATAGAAGTTTTTTAAACATTAGCTAGTCAAGTGACTTACTTCTATTTGACTGATATGGATGTATACTTTATAATAACATTAATATTTGAATATCATTTGAGAACACTTTTGATAATCTTAATTTTACTGTATTTTCAGTAATTCTCACTGAGCACAGCTTCTAGGCATGTTAAGTAATTACTAGTCTAAGGTTCATGTTTTTTATATTATGCAATATTTCCCATTTTTTAAATAGCTATTTAAAACATAACTAGCTATCCCAAAACATAATGTCCTTAAGCTCAAAAGAACTTCATTTATTAAATGCCTCAAGTCTGTGGCTGTTCTTTGCACCCAGTTTACTGATAAATAATATTTGAAGATACACACTCTATGCCATACTATTTGGTAAAAGGACATTTTACATTTTTAAAAGAAATAATCACTTGCTTATATCTTATAGGAAAACACTTAGACCATGTACTTTTGGAAATGGGGTATGGTTTGAGATCGAAAGGACAAAATTCCAAGATGCAAAGTTCAGATAAAAGTGAGTATTCATGTTATTAAAATATGTTTATGTATCAATAATGTTGACTTCAGATGGAGAAAATTATTAAAGTTTGAGATTGTGGAATAAAATCTCTTTTTTAGTGCTTTTCCACCACTGTTTATATAGTTTCTTGTTCCATGTATAGTAGGTCACCCTCTTAGATTTAATTGTGAAGAAATCTTTTTCTCATTTTGCTTTAAATGAGGTCATACTTAATAATTTGGGGGAGAGGCTAGACTTCTTTTGTTGGCATGAGGTTCAGAAATTTCTGACAGTTGGCTAGGGTGCTGAGGAGGCTAAGTGAACAGAGGCAGGACTTCAGCAACTAGTCCCCCTATATTCCAAGGCCAGACTCCTTCAGTAGACGCACACTATTTAAAATAAGAATGGACATTTCTGTAGTGCTTTTAAGTTTTACAGAATGCTTTGCTCATAACAGCCCTATGTAAGAGGCATTGAAAATAGTTCTACTTAAAAAAATAAGGGATATAGGATTCAGAGAGGTTGTTACCTTTTCTTGGTCATAAATATCAAAACATGGAGTTTCAATTCAATAAACTGTTATTAAGTATCTCTGTATGCCAGTGCTGTACTGGGCAGTGGGAATACAAATAAGAAAGTCCCTGTCTTCAGGGAGCTTCCTATCTAAATGGGGAAAGACAACACACAAAAGGAAGCTGGAAAGGGAGGGCATTAGTTCTAGGAGGTACCAAGGAGGTACCTGGCACAGAGGAATCATGTTCTTTGGAGTTTAAACCAAGCAGAGCTGAAAATGGAATGTGGAGATTTTAATTCAGTCTCCTGATTGTTCTCCTGCACTAACCTTTGAAAGAAATTTTGTTACTGGTTTGCCAGTTTTGTGTTGTAATTTTTAATCTGTACTTCTCTGGTTTAATCTGTATTTCTCTGGTTTCCCTTATAATATGCTGATTCTATATAACGGATAAATATTATGGAGTATCAGGTTTAGGACTTTCATTTAATTTTTGTAGCTATGGTTAAAACACACATATTAAATTAACGGAATAGTCCCTAAAAGTTGTTTGCAAACGGAAGCCACTCAGATAATGGAATAAATGAATCATCATAAAAATTATCTTTCTTAAGAATATTGTCTCCTTTTATAAGTGACTAAAATACATTTACAGGTTTTTGTTATTATTAATTTTAATTAATCCTAAATGTTTGTTATTTGAATTTTCTGGAAAGGTGATTTTGAAGATCCTGGAGAAAAAATAAGCAAAGATAAAACACTGGCTGAACGTAAAAGCAATCTGATTCCAAAAGTTATATCCCTAAATGTTGGAGATGAATTTTGTGGTGTCGTTGCGCATATTCAAACTCCAGAAGACTTCTTTTGTCAACAGCTACAAAGTGGCCGTAAGTAATTTTCATTTTACCCACTAGTTGAAGAATGTCAGCACCCTTCCCCTTGTATATTTCTTCATATATATTCTTACAAATTTATAAATGGATATTTGTATTTTTAAAAACGTACTTTCTGAGGGGCATCTAGGTGGTCCAGTGTTTAGAGCATTGGCCTTGAAGTCAGGAGGACCTGAGTTCAAATCCAGTCTCAGACACTTTATACTTATTAGCTGTGTGACCCTGGGCAAGTCACTTAACCCTGATTGCCTTACAAAAAAATAAAAATAAAAACATACTTTCTGTCTACAGGCCAGCTTGCTGAACTTCAGTTATCTCTCAGTGAGTACTGTAATAAATGTCTACCCAATCTGACTTTTATCCAGCCATTGGAGATATCTGTTGTGCACAGTTCTCAGGTAAGAGATAATTATAGTGCCAATTTTGTTACGTTTGATCACATTTGATCATTACATTTGCATCAATCTGCCTTGGCCCACTGCTATTGCAGATTTTCAATAAAGTTATCTATTTTCTTCTCTTTAAGTGATCTGTTGTAATTAGGACTAATTACAAATTAAAGACTAATTACAAATTAAGAGCAATAAAAATAAATTTTTCATAGTTTACACCAAGTATTAGCAACAGCAAAAGCTAAATTATCAAAATTAATCAATTCTGTTTAAAAAAAAAAACAATTGAGGCTGAGCCAAGATGGCTGAGTAAAGGTAGGAACCTACCTGAGCACTCTCAACTTATCCTCCAAACAACTTTAAAATTAAACACCTCAAATCTAACTCTGGACTGGCAGAACTAACAAAAGGTTGGGCTGAAAGAGTTTTCCAGCCCAACACAATGTAGGAGATTGGTAGGAAAGTTCTGCCCGGGGTGATGGAAGAGCCTAGAGCGTAGTTCAGTGCAGGTTGTGCCCTGGCAAGCCAGCAGCAGGCTTTGGAGGCAGGCAGTTCAGCAGTGGCAGTAGCAGGAGCTCTCAGCCTACAGACCATAAGTGAATCAGACAACTAATCAGAAGGAGATTACAGAGATCCTTTGCTAACACTGGATGTATGACCCTGTTTCATTGACAATACACAGTTCTGAGTTTCAGTCTTAGGGCAAAAAGGAATATAAGCCCACTAGCACTTATGGCCATAGGGGAGCAGGGGCCCTAGTCACAGTTTCATAGTGGAGAATAGTGCTTGTGGTTGCTCACAAGAGAGTTGGGGTCCTGTGGTCAGATTTAGGGTTTCAAAGAGTGCTTGTGGTTATCAAGTATCAAAGATGAAAAGGATGAATTCACCACCAAATAAAGATGAAATTAAAGTAATTATTAGGAACTATTTTGCCAAGATACATACCAGTAAATCAAACAATCTAAGTGAAATGGATGAATATTTACAAATATGTAACTTGCCCAGTTAACAGAAAACAAAATAAAATACTTGAATAAAGTTATCTTAGAAAAAAAAATAAGCCATCAATAATTCCCCCTAAGAAAAAAATCACCAGGATCAGATGGATTCAGAAGTGAATTCTACCAAACATTTAAAGAACAATTAATTCGAAGATTATATAAACTGTTTGAAAAGTTGGTAAATAAGGAGTCTTACCAAATTCCTTTTACAACACAAATATGGTGCTGATACCTAAACCAGGAAGAGTGAAAACAGGGAAAGAAAACTATAGATCTGTTTCCCTAATGAATATCGATACAAAAATTTTTAAATAAATACTGGCAAGGAGAATTACAGCAGGGTATCACAAGGATTATATGCTATAACTAGGTGGAATTTATTGTAAGTATGTAGAGGTGGTTCAGTATTAGGAAAACGATCAGCATAATTGACCATATCAACAACAAAATCAACAAAAATTATATGATTATCTCAATAGATATAGAAGCTTTTGACAAAATACAACACCCATTCCTATTAAAAATACTAGAGAACGTAGGAATAAATGGAATTTTCCTTAAAATGATTATTAATCTAAAATCATCAGCAAGCCTTATCTGTAATAGGGATAAGCCAGAAGCCTTCCCATTAGGATGAGGGGGTGAATCAAGGATGTCCATCATTTCCACTATTATTCAATATCGTACCAGTAGCTATAGCAGTAAGAGAAGAAAAAGAAATTGAAGGAATTAGAATAGTCTGTGAGGAAACAAAACAGTCACTCTGCAGATGATAAGATATTATACTGGGAGAATCCTAGAGAATCAACTGAAAAACTAGTTGGAATAATTAACAACTTCTAGCAAAGTTGCAGGATATAAAACAAAGCCACATAAACCATCAGCATTTCTGTATATTACCTACAAAGTCCAGCAGCAAGAGATAGAGAAATTCTGTTAAAAATGTAGACAATATAAAATACTTGGAGTCTGTCTGCCAAGGCAAACCCAGGAACTAACAAACATAATTACAGAACACTTTACACAAATATAGTCATATTAAAAATATTGGAAAAATATTAATTGCTCATGTATAGGCCAAGCCAATATAATAAAAATTATAATTCTACCTAAATTAATTTATTTATTCAGTGTCATACCAATCAAACTACCAAAAATTATTTTATGAATCTATAAAAAATAATCAGATTTCATCTGGAAGAACCAAAGATCAAGAATATCAAAAGAATTAATGAAAAAAAATGTGAAGGAAGAAGGTAAACTGGTAATATCAGATCTTAAAATGTTTTCTACAGTGGTAATCATCAACACAGTCTGGTACTGGCTAAGAAATAGAACATTGACTAGTGGCATATATTAGGTACACGATACACAGTAGTAAATAGTCATAGTAATCTAGTGTTTGATAAACCCAAAGAGCTAAGCTTTTAGGACAGGAACTCACTATTTGACAAAAACTGATTGGAAAACTGGAAAAGTTTGGCAGAAACTAGGTATAGAACAATATTTCACACCGTATACTAAGATAAAGTCTAAATTAGACATAAAGGGTGATACCATGGGCAAATTAGGGGAGCATGGAATAGTATACCTGTCAAATCTGTGGATAAGGGGAAGAACTTACGACCAAACAACATAGCATTATGAGATGTAAAATGGATAATTTTTTGTTATATTGAATTAAAAATGTTTTGCACAAACAAAACCAATGCTGCCAATGTTAGAAGGAAAGGAGAAAACTGGAGGGGGAAGGGGGTTTTATAGCAAGTTTCTCTGATTAAGGCCTTATATCTGAAGTATATGGAGAACTGAGTCTAATTTATAAGAATATGAGTCATTCCCCAATTGATAAATGGTCAAAGGTTATGAACAGGCAGTTTTCTGATGAAGAAACAAAGCTATATGTAGTAATTTGAAAAAATGCTCTACCTTGCTATTAGAGAAATGCAAATTGAAACAGCTCTGAGGTACCACTTCATACCTGTTAGATTGGCTAATAAAACAGAAAAGTAAAATGGCAAATGCTAGGGGGGGTTGTGGAAAAATAGGTATACTAATGCATTGTTGGTTGAGCTGTGAACTGGGCCAGCCATTTTGAAAAATTTGGAACTGTGGCCAAAGGGCTATAAAACTGTACATACCCTTTGACCCAGCAATACCACTACTAGGTCTGTATCCCAGATAGATAAAAGGAAAAGGACCTAGAGTGTATGAAATATTTACAGCGGCTCTTTTTGTGGTGGCAAAGAATTGGAAATTGAGGGGATAAAAAATGATCACAATGCTGAGAAAACTTATATGAATTAATGCAGAATGAAGTGAGCAGAACCAGGAGAACATTGTACACAGTAACAGTAGTATTGTATGATGATCAGTATGAATGACTTAACTATTATCAGCAATAAATGGTCCAAGACAATTCTGAAGATCTTATGATGAAAGATGCTATCCACCTCCAGAGAGAGAATTGATGGAGTCTGAATGCAGAGATCAAAACATACTTTTTTTTTTTAACTAATTCTTTGGGAGTTTTTTTTTTGATGAGTCTTCTATTGCAACATGGCTAACATGGAAATGTTTTACATGACTGTACATGTATAGTCTATATCAAATTGCTTGCCTTCTCAGGGAGGGTCATGAAGGGAGAGAGGGAGAGAATTTGGAACTCAAAATTTTAAAAAAATGTTAAAAATTGTTTCACATATAATTGAGAAAAATGAAAAAGTTTGTTTTCAAAAAAGTAATCAATCTTTAGTATGAAGTAAAATTTTAATGTTTATAGAATTATGAACTTTTCTGCGATGTGGAAAAAAATGAGTTATTAACCATAGGCTTTTCAATACTGTACTATCGTACGGTAGAAGCAGTGAAGTTCACTGAATAGAAAACTGGCCTCAGAGTTAGGAAAACTTGTATCCCAAGTCTTGCTCTCATTGGCTATAACTCTAGGGAAGTCACTCAACTTTGGTTAATCTGGGCAACTCTCCAAGATGCTACCTGTACTACTTGTGAGTTTCCTCACAACAGTTTCTTCTAACAGTGGACTCACAGTCTGGACTGGAAAAACACACACTTATACACACAATTACTCTATAAATTTTATTACATCATAGATATGTCTTGGATGTTTATTTTTATTTTTAACCTTTCTAAAGTAAGCCAAGACAGCAGCCATTATTAAGTGCCTACTCTCTGTCTGGCATTGTGCTAAACAGTGGGGATACAAAGGTCAGAAAATAGTCCTTACTGTCAAAGAGTTCACACTCTGATGGAGTAGACAATAAGTAGATAAACAGCTGTACAGACAAGACATATATTGGATAAATTGGGAGTGATCTCAAAGGGAAGGCTCTGAGGTAAAGTCTTCTTGTTGAAAGTGGGAGTTGAACAGAGATCAGAGGTGAGGAAGTACAGAGATCCAGGCATCGGGAATGATGGTTAGAGAGAATGCCAGGAGCAGAACAATTGAATTGGGAGTCAGAATGACATCTTTGAACCATTTTTTTGTTGGGGAGATTTGGATAGAGAAAGACACATAATTTTTCTATTGCCCAGTTCTTTATTTTTGTGACATAAATTATTATAATAGTTACCACCAAAATGAGGTTCTATTGGGCACGTTGTGAGTATGTAGTAAAGAATTGTTTATTGATTGATCCTAAGGAACTATTACATAACAAAGTTCGTATATCCTCTGAAATGGAAGTACTTCATGACATATTGGCAAAATACTAAATTTTAGCAAGTGGTGGCTAAAGAAGAGATGTGCTACTATTGTTAAAACATTTTCCAGATTGCTTAAAATATATTTAATATTAAATAGATATGTTAATATAAATGTTAGAAAATAATTTTGGTTCTCACTTACATATGTCTACATTTTTCAGAGGATAATCAGTGGTACCGTGCGTCAGTTCTGGCATATGCTTCTGAAGAGTCTGCTTTAGTTGGCTATGTCGATTATGGAAATTTTGAAATCCTTAAATTGAATAGACTTTGTCCCATGGCACTAAGATTATTGGAATTGCCAATGCAGGCCATAAAGTGTATCTTGGCAGGTATGAAGTAGTTATAATAATAATAATGGCTAACATTTTATAACATATTAGAGTTCAGACTAAAAATTACCATATGGCAGTTTATAGATTAAATCCCAAAGTAAAGGTGCTGCAGTTAGAATGAAAAGGGTATTGCTTTTTCTTGGAAGTTAAAAAGATTAGAAGAGGGGGATGTAAGGTTTATACTGTAATTTCTATGAAGGGATGAATTTTACCCATAATTTAAAAGAAGGTGACTTGAAAGGAATAATTGGGAATTTATACTATAATTTCCATAAAAGTATTTAATATATTTTATTTTATTTTGAGAGCATCTGTTGTTGAATTGTTGCTGTGAGAAATATAAGTAATGTTTTAAAAATACTATTTTAAGGAGTGAAGCCATCATCAGGAATCTGGTCTCCGGAGGCAATTTGTCTCATGAAAAAATTAATACGAAATAAGATGATTACAGTGAAAGTTGTAGACAAGAAGGAAAATAGTTCTGTAGTGGAGCTTATAGATAAGTCAGTTAAACCCAGCATCAGTGTTTCTGAAATCCTCATCGAAGCTGGCTTTGCTGTAGGAGAAAGCAAGATATTGACAACAGATACATCCAGTGACTTGCAAGAAATTAGTGGTAAGTAAATGTTTGATTAGCAACTCTAATAGCATATATGGTAGAGTACGAAATGGGAAGTGGTCTAAGTTCAACAAAAAACATGAATAAAACTATGAACATACCTGACTGATAACTTGGTTCATTCACAGGATAGGTGACAATAGGGTTCATTTAAATATCAAGTAGGAAGCCCTTGTTATTTTCCAGGCATTGGGGATACCAGACAAAAATAGACCAGTCCGAAGGCAGCTAGGTGGCGCAGTGGATAAAGCACCGACCCTGAAGTCAGGAGGACCTGAATTCAAATTCAGCTTCAGACCAAACACTTAACACTAGCTGTGTGACCCTGGGCAAGTCGCTTAACCCCAATTGCCTAAAAAGAAAAAAAAAATGCAAGAGAAAAGTATGCTTCAATCTGTATTCAGACACCATTAGTTCTTTCTCTGGGGATGGAAAGCATTTTTCATCATAAGTCCTTCAGGATTGTCTTGGTTCATTGTATTGCTGAGAATAGTTAACGTTTACAATATTGCTGTTACTTGGTACACAGTTCGTTTCACTTTGCATCAGCTCAGGCAAGTCTTTCCAGGTTTTTCTGAGAGCATCCTGCTCATCATTTCTTATAGTACAATAGTATTTTATCATAATTTTATACGACAACTTGTTCAGTCATTCCTCAATTGGTAGACATCCTCTCAATTTCTAATTATTTGCCCCCAGAATGAGCTGCTATAGATATTTTTGTACATATAGGTCTTTCCCCCTTTTTAAAAAAAATCTCTTTTGGAATATAGACCTGGTAGTGGTATTGCTAAGTCAAAGGGTATGCGTGGTTTTATAGCCCTTTGCGCATAGTTCCAAATTGCTCTACAGAATGGTTGAATCAGTTCATGACTTCAACAACAGTACGTTAGTGTGTCATTTTTACCACATCCCTTCCAACATGTCATTTACCTTTTCTGCCCTATTAGCCAATCTCATAGGTATGAGGTAGCACCTCAGAATTGTTTTAATTTGCATTTCTCTAATCAGTAGTTAGAGTATTTTTTCATATGGCTATAGATATATCACCTGATCATATCTTTTGCTCATTTATCAATTAGGGAATGGGTCTTATTTTTATAAATTTGACTCAATTCTCTATATGTTTGAGAAATGAGACCTGCTTCAAAATTTTTTTCATTTTTAATATTACTAACTATATTTTCCTCCATCCGGTTTCCCCATCCCCCATTTATTCTATTCCCTCTCTCTCCTTTCACCCTGTCCCTTCTCAAAAGTGTTTTGCTTCTGACTACCCTCTCCCTATCATACCTCTCCTTCTCTTATCCTCTTCCCATCTTACGTTCTTGTAGGATAAGACAGATTTCTATACCCAATTAAGTGTGTGTGTTATTCCCTCTTTGAGCAGATTTTGATGAGAGTAAGGTGCACTTGCATCCCCTCACCTCACCCATCTTCCCCTCCACTGCTTTTCCTTGCTTCTTTTATGGTAAATAATTTACGTCATTCTACCTCTGCCTTTTGGATGAGGCCAAATTTTGAAGAGTTTAAATACCAGAGGAGTTTATATATTTGATATTAGTATTAATTACATGTCATATTACATGAATTATGTGAATTACAACCAGTTCTTCAGTAGGGAGTCACTGGAGTTAGAGTAGGGGAGTGACATGGTCTGACCCATAAGGAAAATTACTTTGGAAAAACCCTAGGAAGAGTTGTATTAAGTGATATATAGTGAAGTGAGCAGAACCAGGAGAAAAGTTTTTATAGTAACAACAGTATTGTAAAGATCATCAACTTTAAAAGACTTAATAACTGATCGGAATAGTGACCAACCATAATTCCAGATGAGTTATGATAAAACATGCTGCCCTCTTCCACATAGCCAATAGGCTCAGAGTACAGATTGAAGCATAGCTTCTATCTTTTTCTGTTTAATTTTGGACATGACAATGAAGAAATTTGTTTTCCATGACTATGCATATGTTTAAGATATTTTGTTTTTCTTTCTCGATGAGTGGGGGAGGGAGAAAGAGACTTTGGAACTTAAAATTGAGTTATTGGGAATAAATAAAGTTAAAGAAGGAATGTTACTGGCAATTGTGTGGAAGATGGATTGGAATGGGGAGAGATTTGAGTCAGGGATGTCAATTAGGAAGCTTTTGCAATAGTTCAGACAATAGATAATACAGGTTTGAACTAAGGTAATGGTTGTATGAATAATGAATGAGAAGGGTTCAGGTAAAAATTATGCTGGGGTTGGGGCATAGAAACAAGGTTTGGCAACCGTTTGGGAATATGGGGTGAGATGTACTTGAGTTGAACATAATGCTGAAGTTGCAAATCTGGATTACTGGGATAATGGTAGTACCCTTGACAAAAATAATGAAGTTCCATGATGGCTGAGTTAATGAATTTGAGATATCTGTGGGTCATCTAATTTGAAATGTCTATTGCACAGTTGAGGATGCAAGACCAGAGTCAGGAAAGAGGCTGGGGCTGAATATATGAGTCTAAGACATCTTCACAGAAATGAGAGAGACTGATACTTAAAAAAAAACAAGAGGGGAGTGATAGAGGAAACATTCTGAAGAAGGGAGGGAATTGAGATCAAGGGCACATGTAGAGAGGCTGTCTTTGAAAGACTATCTTGTTAAAGGAAGGTGATGTGGGTTTTGAAATGGAGTAAAGGAATGGATGGGGACACGTTTTGTTGACAGATCCAAAGTTACGATTAGAAGACCAAGGGCTAAACTTAGTGTTAAATGTAACATCCAATTGAAGCAGCTAGGTGGCACAGTGCATAGAGCACTGGTCCTGGAGTCAGGAGGACCAGAGTTCAAATCCACCCTCATACATTTACTAGCTATGTGACCCTGAGCAAGTCACTTAACCCTGTTTGCCTCTATTTCCTCATCTGTAATAATGAGCTGGAGAAGAAAATGGCAAAGCACTCCAGTATCTTTGCCAAGAAAACCCCAAATGGGATCACAGAGAATTGGACACAACTGAAACAACCCAACAAAACAACAGCCAATTGACAATCAGAAATAGATAATATGGCATATTGAACAGAATCCTGAGCTTCAAGTCAGGAACCCAAGAGAGTGAGTCCTGCTGGACACTTGATTAACTGTAAGTGACCTTGGGTAAATCATGTAATGCCTGATCAAAAAATCAAATTTAGAGTGGAAAAGGGCCTTAGAAGTCATTGATAAGGAAAGTGATGCCAGAAATGTTAAATGACTACATAGCTAGTGTCTGAGGTGTGGAATTTTAATCTAGGTTTCTCTAACTTCAAGTCCTACCTTACCATGCTCCATGTAATCCTCACCTATCCTCACTTAAGCTGCTTGTATGGTCTGTTAGTCTTGTTAGGAGCAGGCCATCCAGCTTTTCTTCCTGGACCTCTGATGAAGGAGAACCTTTGTGATCTCTGGAGTCTATTACTCTTCCTCCTGTTCTCACTGGTGTTATCTTATTTCTTTGCTCCTTCTCTCCCCAGTATACAAACGACATAAACTCTGGTATATCTTAGTAGCATCTATGTGTAAGGCATGCCAGGTTATAAGGGATATATAAAAATAACTGTTAACAGTGGTCCTTACCTTCAAAGAGCTTAAAGTCCTAGGAAAAAAAGAGAAAAAAATGTATGTACAAATAACCATAATGTTAAAATAAAAGACAGATTCATAATAGATATAAAATATCATATATTTGGTGTGTTTTTCTTTTGGTATTCTGAAGCAGTTTGCTTTTTGTCTTCATAGCTATTTTAACTGCTGAAGAAACAGTGAACAAATTTGAGTGGACTTGGGTTGAACTAGCTGTTAACGAAACTGTCAATGTTATGGTTTGTATGTTATATAATCCTGGAGAATTCTATTGTCATATACTTGAAGAGGATGGTAAGTTACTTATAATTCTATACCAATTTATCTTTATATAGTCTTCATTTTGTTAATGTGTTGCTATATTTGACACATGATACACATTCGTCTCTTTAAAGGAGAGAAGTAGGTTATCTTTCAGTTTTTAAGAGGTAATTTATTTCAAATAAGTTGACTTTCATACTTCCTATGTTAATAGTTCTGTCATCTCACTGATTAGGTGTTCCTTTCAGTAGTGCTAATCATAACCCATCTGGGACCTCTCACAAGTCCTTTAGAAGATCTGCCCAAGATGATAGAAACATTCATGTTGTTAATTTTATATGGGTACCAGTGTAGCCTGTGGGTTGCCCATGTTATTCCTTGATCTGAATACATAACCAAACCACCCACTTTTCTGATTACATATCTGGATGATTTGTTTCTTTTCCTGTTCATAAGTCATATGCTAAAAGCACCACAACCTGTCATTTGATTCTTTGCTGATTATGTTGCAGCATGATTTGGAACCATAGTAATACCAAGAAGAATTTTAATATTTATAGGGTTTTTGTTTGAGATAGTTTCTTAGTATCATTGAAAGCACTATGTAGTTTCTCAAGCATGATTCATCCTGCTTTCTAACTCCCATTCAATTCCATATCCAGATTATTGTTCAACTAGCGTGTCTCTTCAAGATTTCTGCACTAATGGATCATCTCAGTGGCTTTTTTAAAAAAAAAGTTTTGTTGCCTTTGATTGTTGCACCACCATCATTTCCTCTTACATCTTTACCAACAGTGTATGGCATATTCTATGTCTATAGCTCTGTGCCTTTTAAAAAAAAATTTAAACACTTTCAAAGACAAAGTATTACATATATATGCATATATATATGAAATAAATTTCATTGATGGTTTTAAAAATTATACATTAAATTTAATAGGTAACAAAATTGCCTTTTTGTTTTTTCTTTTCTGTTGTACTCGGACATTTCACATAGCTGCATGTTATAGTCAATCAGGAATCTGGAGCTACTTTATTTTTTCTGTATGGCTTTTTAAACTAAACTTTTCAGTGGTAGTAAATCTCATTAAGGAAGTTCAGTGTATTACTTCAGGACTTATTGCAATCAATAACCAGGGTAATCTGCAAACAAAAGTAACTGAAAGATCAGATCAGCTATAGGAAATTCCTCTTCCATTTTTTTTTTATGCACAGTATTGCCTTCATGACAGAGGCAAATACTTTTGGAAAGCATGCATTTCCCTGTTACATACTTTACTTGAAATTGATAACCAGGGAATTGTTATGTCTATTAGAGAGTACAGCCTTAACATATGTATGGGAGATGCTTTGTTAGAAAAGTGGTTAATGCTGAATTTTGCCCTGAGTCAAATGTATTTTTATAGTAAAACAAAAACTCAAACCAGGGCCGTATCTTATATTTTTTCGAGTTTTTAGTCAGATATGTTAGCTATGAAGATATGTGCTGTTATAGAAAGACAGCTGGCAAAAGTCTGTTAGTTTCCTACATATTTTTATTTAAAACTATCAATTATGTGAGTGAATAGCACTCAAAGAATTTATAGAGATGAGAAAATAGACATATGGTTCAATAGTTATTGATTTTCTTGGTTGCCTTTTTTCAGTAGTAATATCATCTTTTAATTCTTCTTGATCATCTAATATCTTATCCTCCCTCTCCAATATTTTGAAAATTAATCCTTCAGTGCCCTCAAAAATAATTTTTTCCTTTTTTTAAGGCAATTGGGGTTAAGTGACTTGCTCAGGGTCACACAGCTAGTAAGTGTCAAGTGTCTGGTCTGAGGCCGGGTTTGAACTCTGGTCCTCCTGACTTCAGGGCCGATCTCTATCCTCTGCACCACCTAGCTGCTCCCTATTTTTTCCTTTTGTATGTACTTGGTATCTTCTAGCTTTTCTTCCTGTGACTTACTCAGTACTGTCTCTTAGCACATTGGGAATAGAGACATTAGAATCCAAATGTGTGCATTCTCATACATAAAATAGCTTGCAATAGAAACGTTGACAAAATTTTTCCTTTGTTCATGTTGGTTTAAACTTCATGTCTCACTTCTGAATAATCGTGGAGTGATCTGGGGGTTTTTTTGGGTGGGCTTCATATCATGTGTTGGAAAATTTTTGAAAAAAAGCTCATCTTACAGGTGGAAAAAACAGAATTCCATGGAGGTTAAGTTATTTTCTCAAGATCACACAGGTTTAAAGCATCCAATATAGGATTTGAACTCGGGCCCTCTGAGAAGAAGAGATTCTTAATTTGCTGCTTATTAAACTATATAGGCTGTAAGGTCCCTTTTAAAACTGAGGTTCTGTGAAACCAGTAATTTCTTAACAATTTGATTTTTGTTATATTTAGGACTTGCTATTTCCAGAACTTCCCATTTCTCTTTTTGATGGAAGTATTCTGGATATATAGGCATAGGACTCCTATGCAGCTTACAAGTCTTTGGCCTCTTGAGTGTTATGATCCTGAATCTTATTTACTATTTTTTTTCTGTCTTCCACTGCCCAGAGTACTAAGGAATATGTTAAATTAGTTTGGAGAATCTTCTCAAACTCTTTGTAGAATTTTTTACCCTCCTAATCCTTTCCAGCACGTTTGGACATAAACTGCAGTTATCTTCATTATGGTCTTAAAAGTTTGGGCTCATGTACAATCAAATGAAACGTATTTCCACATTAGTCATGTTGTGAAAGAAGAATCAGAGCAAAAGGGAAAAGCCATGAGAAAGGGGAAAAAAAAAGAGAAAATAGCATGCTTCAATCTGCATTCAGATGCCATAGTTCATTCTTTGGATGTGGATAGTATTTTCCATCATGAATCTTGTTCAGTCATTCCCCAATTGATGGGCAGCCCCTCAATTTCTGATTCTTTGCCACCATCAAAAGAGCTGCTACAAATATTTTTGTACATGTGGATCCTTTTCCTGTTTTTTATGATCTTTTTGGAATACAGACCTGGTAGTGATACTGCTTGATCAAAGAGTGTGTACAGCTTTATAGCCCTTTGGGCATAGTTCCAAATTGCTTTCCAGAATGGTTGGATCAGTTCATAACTCCACCAACGATGTATTTATTAGTGTTCCAATTTTCCCACATCTTCTCCAACATTTATCATTTTCCTTTTTTGTCATATTAGCCAAGCTCATAGTTGTGATGTGGTACCTTAGGGTTGTTTTAGTTTGTATTTTTCGAATTAATAGTGATTTAGAGCATTTTTTCATGTGACTCTAGATAGCTTTAATTTCCTTATTTGAAAACTATCTGTTCATATCTTTTGACCATTTGTTAATTGGGAAATGACTTATGTTCTTATAAATCTGATTCAGTTCTCTCTGTATTTTAGAAATGAGGCCCTTATTAGAAATACTGGCTGTAAAAATTGTTTCCCAGCTTCCTGCTTTCCTTTTTATCTTGGTTGCGTTGGTTTTATTTGTGCAAAACCTTTTAATTTCATTTGATAAGAGTTGTCTGTTTTGCATTTCATAATGTTCTCTGTCTCTTGTATGGTCATAAATTCTTTCTGTCTCCACAGATCTTACAGGTAAACTATTCCTTGCTCTCCTAATTTGCTTATGGTATCATCCTTTATGTCTAAATCATGTACCGATTTCGACTTTATCTTGGTATCATAAGGTATGAGATGCTGGTCTATGCCTACTTCCTGCCATATCATTTTCCAGTTTTCCCAGCAGTTTTTGTCAAATAATGAATTCTTATCCCAGAAGCTTGGGTCTTTGGGTTTATCAAACAGTAGATTACTATAGTCATTTACTACAGTGTTTTGTGTACCTAACCTATTCCAGTGATCCACCACTCTGTTTCTTAGCTAGTGCCAAGTAGTTTTGATGATTGCCACTTTATAATGTAGTTTTAGATATGGTACAAGTAGGCTACCTCCTTTTGCTTTTTTTTTCATTAATTCTCCTGATATTCCTGATCTTTTGTTCTTCCAGATGAATTTTGTTATTTTGTCTAGCTCTATAAAATAAATTTTTGGTAGTTTGATTGGTATGGCACTGAATAAGTTAATTCAGGTAGAATTGTCATTTTTATTATATTAGCTCGGCCTACCCATGAGAAGTTGAGATTTTTCCAGTTGTTTATATCTGACTTTATTTGTGTGAAGTGTTTTGTAATTGGGTTCATATAGGCCCTGGGTTTGTCTTGGCAGATAGACTCCCAAATATTTTATATTGTCTGCAGTTATTTTAAATGGAATTTCTCTTTCTGTCTCTTGCTGCTGGGCTTTGTTGGTAATATATTAGAAGTGATGATGATTTGTGTGGGTTTATTTTATATCCTGCAACACTAAAGTTAATTGTTTCAAGTAGTTTTTTAGGTGATTCTCTAGGATTCTCTAAGTATACCATCATGTCATCTGCAAAGAGTGATAGTTTCATTTCTTAACTGTCTATTCTAATTCCTTCAATTTCTTTTTCTGATCTTATTGCTAAAGCTAACATTTCTAGTGCAGTATTGAATAATGAGCATCTTTGCTTCACCTCTGATCTTACTGGGAATGCTTCTAGCTTATCTCCTTTAATATACAATGCTTGCTAATGGTTTTAGTTAAAGTCTACTCATTTTAAGGAAGATTCCATTTATTCCTATGCTCTCTGATGTTTTTAGTAAGAATGGGTGCTGTATTTTGTCAAAAGATTTTTCTACATGTATTGAGATAATCATATGATTTCTGTTAGTTTTGTTATTAATATGGTCAATTATGCTGATAGTTTTCCCAATATTGAACTAGCCCTGTATTCCTGGTATAAATCCTACCTGTTCATAGTGTATTATCCTCAAGATAAGTTGTTGTAATCTCTTTGCTAATTTTTATTTAAATTTTTTTGCATCAATATTCATTAGGGAAATTGCTCTGTAATTTTCTTTCTCTGTTTTGGCTCTTTGTGTCATAAAAGGAATAATTTGGTAGGACTCCTTCACCCAAATAGTTCATATAGTATTGTAATTAACTGTTCTTTCAATGTTTGGTA